ACAAAAGGTTGAGGTAAAGTCAGCAAAAAACGAAAACGTTAGGGATGTTGCAATTTTTCCTAAAATTTATTATTTTATCTTTCGTTATAAGGTAAATTCTTCTAATTTGAATCAATTTTATTATTTCATGGTTCATGCATGCCTAAAATGGTAAAATTATGAAGTAAGAGAGGTAAAGTTTTTACCTTAATTTCCAGAGTCTTAGGGTTTTGAGCATAATTTGAGCTGAAATAAGCATCTGGACATCTTTCTATAATATTACTTTCCCTACAAAAAGGCAACCAAATTCTCGCAAATTCAGCAGCCTCCATGAAAGCAAATAGTGTAAGCTCTGATCCTCCATCATCCGACAAATAAACCGACAGTTTCTCTGTCGGATAATCATAAGCCATAACTGATAAAGCCGTGTTAACAACGTTAATAGGTGGCTCTTTATATGGATCTGCAGTGCATATAAATATATCCATGGCCGGAAAATCTTTCCGGTCCAAGAATTTTTCGAGGTTTTCGGGGAATTCTTGTCGGGTCACCGGATTCATTCGATACGATTGGGTTGTGGACCACATATAAGCTAGAATAATATCAGATACGAACATAGTGAGGGATATGCAGAAAGTTGTGAAGGTGGTGAAGTGGAGGAGGGTGAGTGCATGGTGGTAGAACAAGGCCAATATAACAAAGGTGTAAACCGCCGCGAATACGCGGTTGGGCAACCGGCGGCGCAGCCGTCTGAGCGAGTGTAGGCGGGGGTTCGTGGTGGCAGACGCCATTTCTTTGCTACTCTTTGTGGTTAATTACGGTCCAGAAGGAAGTCATATTTATAGGCATTCAGACACCTTCCTTTCCTTTGAGGCTTCATGCTTTGTTGAACATTCTTGTTCGAAAATGATTTTTCTAGTTACTTAGCGTGGCAAATTTATAAATTATTTATTAAAAAAACAGTAGTGAGTCTAATGAAATATACAGATAATAAATGAGTAATAATTATATTTATAATTAATATTTAAATATAAATTAATTTATGAATTATTTACAAATTGGCAGCCAAACGTCATAAAATTATGAGCAACAAGTCAATAAAAAGAAATACAAAATTTAAATCCACAAACTCACAAATACACATCTTTTTATTTTTTATTTTTTATTTTTATGATGGGTTAAGTTAAATTTGGCATAAGATAGTAGAAAGATCCAGAAGTCGATTCTTATTGCCTTTAGTTATAAAAATTGTAAATGTATCTATCTTTAATAAATAAATACAACCTACGAGTTAATCATGTACTTTTTAAGTACTCATAAATGAACATAACTCTAATACACGATGGAATGATTCAACAAACTTTAATTACGACTCGGATATATTTGAATCATTTTTATAAGTGTTTTATTTAATTAAAAAATATATTTAGAGGAGCATCATTAAAGTGGCTTCTTCATAAAACTCTTTATTTATTTATTTATTTATTTATTGGGAAAATGGGCGAAAGCTATCCCATAAAAATCATTAATTTAGACAATTTGACACCCCACTCGTTTAGACAACTATTTTCAATTTTTATACTAAGACCAACATTCTTTTAAAAAATATATTTTTAAATAGTAATTTGACATCATTTTAATACATATTTTCTAATAAAATAATATTATACACAAATTCAAAACTTTTTCTTATTTTCTAATTACACATTTTTCATCAATACACTATTCAAAAATACATTCTTATGCATATGATGTAGCTCAAACAAGGGCTAAGCCCTCTTTTGATCTCCATTATTTTAATTTTATAATTTTAGGGATATAATTTTTTTGGAGAATGTGTGGTTAAAAAAAAATTTTTTTTTTTTCGATTTACATGCAATATTATTTTATGGAAAATTGTGTAATTGAAAATAAGAAAATGAAATTTATAATTTGAAATAGCGAGGGCTACGAAAGAAAGACACCCCTCCTTGTTGTCCTGTCTCCCATACTCGGCTAAGATGGGGGTGGGACGGGACAAGTCCTCTACCCCATTTATTGTCCCCTTCATTTTTTTTTAAATAGTTTCGTCCTTCATTTTTTCAGAGCATGCATGTTTGATCCCATAATTTTCAAAATTCAATTTTTTCTCTTTTCTTCTTAATTATACATTTTCAATAAAATAATATTATATGCAAATAAAAAAATTTTCCTTTTTTTTTTATAACATATTCTCCATCAATCTACAGTTCTAAAATGCATTTTTTTTGGGCTAAAAATGAGGCTCAAACATGCTCTTAATATCTTTAATTGGTGAAAAATTATAACTTTTTTTTTTTTTTTAATTTGTGAAGTAGCTCATGTTTCCTTTAGAAATGGTGATTATTTTTCTTTTTGTATGATAAAAAATTTATATTTTAAGATGGACTTTAAAACAATGGGGTGACTATGTTGCCCATACGTGTCTCGGCCCCAAGGCAATCTCCGTCCCATCCCTATCCCATGTAGCCTACTAGGCAGAGCGTCCTCTGCCTTAGCTCTATTTGGTACGATGCCTTGCGGATATCTAGTATAACGGGTTTTTTGTTATGACTAATTTAAACTATGTTCTTAACTAAATTAAAATGGTAACGTGTAATAAATTTTAGGCTAAATATATTCACACCACAAATTTTAATAATTAGACTGCATTTTAATTGTATGAAATATTCATACATTATCACATTTATGTATCGAATTTTTTTCATTGTTCTTATTCTCAAATTTACATAAAATTTTCATGATTATGACTTCTCTTCGAAATTTTCTTTAAGACAGAGTAAAAAGACAAATTTACCCATTGTATTTTAAATAAGCAAAATAACTAATAATGCAAAAATTCAATTAAATATTTGACTCTCATTTTAAGGTACGTTAACAATATTTTTGGACAAAAATCATGATTAAGGACACAATTTTCGGATTGATGAAACGTTAAAAATATGAATATGATGAAGAAAAAAGTTAAGAATATAATTTGAAAAAGAATAAAGGTTAAAGACCTATAATGTAATTAAAATATGGTGATTTTATAAGAAAATATGGTGTGAAATTCCCTAAATTTTATTCATATGGGAGGTTTCTATAACTAAACTACGTGGAACCAATTCAAAGAAGTGAGAGAAGAAATGGAGAAAGAATTCACGAACAAACGAAAGCGGCTATGTCTTTTAATATTGTAGTAGCAACTTTGCAACATAGTAAATGACAACTCTAAAGGGAGAAAATATATGTATATGAGAATGTAAATGCAAGACACATGTAAGTGTAATAAGAAGACACTTTATGCTTGTGCTCATTAATTTGCCATACATAGATGTATTTTGACTATCTCAAAAAAGAGTATCTACTGATGTAATTTTGAAGAATCAATAATCTAAATAATATTTTGTTGTTGATTTAGGTAAAAGTATTAAAAATGGGTTTAGGCATTACATTATCGCTAGAGGAACCACGAGATGGAAAAAAGTTTATAAAGATATTTTAAGCATTAGAAAAAAATGGTCAGTGAAAATATGCATTATGTAGAACTTGAAATAAAGAAACTTTTGAGTAATTTTCGAAACTAGAAAGGTTGTCTTTGAGATTGTCATAGTCCTCAAGAAGATTTATGTAATGTAAAACTCGAAATAATATTTTAAAATGTGAAGAAATAACTTTGAAATAGTCAGAAACCTCAGAAAAATTTCTTTAATTTACCCTTTTAAAATGAGTAATGTTATTTGCAATCTCCCACTGTCGCAATTATCTTACGTGGCATACATGTGACAATTAGTGATTTGATGCAATGTGGTAGTTTTTTATTGCTTAATGCATCAAATCACTAACTGTCATATGTATGACACGGGGAGTGATTACGGTAGTGAACGACTGCAAATAGTATTATTAGAATTTTTTGGTAACTTGGTCTTTATTGTATTTCGATACGCAGGGATTGGTTAGCAAGTGAAAGCAACAGGGTCCAGGGAGAAAATTTTGCCCATAAAAATCCAAGAAATTGAAGATATTTCTCTTGGGCATTCAAAAGTCAAATATATTTCCATGCATGCTTGTGGAAATGCTGCTAGTAATTGGTTGAGTTCTTGCCCTTAATTTCCATTGATTATGCTTGGACAAAACTGGTTTCTTTTTTATTTTCTTTTTTCTTTTTGTTTGATCACCAAACTGTCAATTCCATTTAAATCCAATCATCACAAAGAACCGAAAAAAAAGAAATAGAAAAAAGCACGAGACGAATAATTAGTCAATGTTTTCTAAAAAGTTAAAATCAATAAAAGGTGTAATTTTATTTGCTACTCCATTTGAGAGGTAAAGCAATAGGACCACATCCTATACATTAACCACCAGTATCACAATTTCTATAGTTTAAGACAAAAATAACTCATCTTTATTTTCTTATAGTCAATTTAAAGTCAACTTGAGGGGAAAAATTTTGATAGGTTGGAAATCTATGTGAAATTTCGTTATTATCTTATGACAAGAATCTTTATAAACAAATAGCAATTCCCATCTTAAATTGACAATTTTCATGAAAAACAAAGTCAAACGAACATCAAATGACACTTTAATTTCAACATTTTTCAAGTAGAAAATTATACCAATCAAACACTATTAATTGACAATTCCTATGAAAACAATTTTTAGGCAATTCAATTTCCTGAAATTCGTTTTCTTTTCACCCAAATTCTATCTTTACAATCAAACAGACCCTAATATTATTTTATTATAAGATATTGAATATTTTGACAAGAATATTACATTCTCCTTGCAAAAAGCAGCAAGTTGCATGGATTTCCTGGAACTTGTAAGATATGGGAGTGAACAAAATTGATTGATTGTGGAATCTCTTGTGAGTTCCCACCAATAATTCACATATCTATCTTCTCTAACATCTCTTTCTCTCTTTTCTAATGCTTATCAAAAAGTCTAGTGATGATTTCCTATTTATAAGACAAATTATAGCAAAATTGAAATTTATAAGGACACAAATTTCTAATTAAAATTTGGTCTGAAGGTTCAGCCCCCCACACTCCCAAGAGGGGGACTTCCTGCCCCCTTCCAACCCAATGAGACCTCACTATGGAGGTCGATCCTCTTACTGACTACATAGATTGACAATAATTATGCTACAAATTTTTTAACTATTTTTTCTTTGTTTTCTAGTACTTGTACTTTCTTTTGAGATCCTGTGAGTCGATAGTGTATAATTAATTAGGAGTCATGGGTTTTGTTTTATTAATCTATGAAAACCCCTTACCAGAATTAATTGAAAGAACAACATACTTTTGGTTCATTAGATTTGCTAGCTTCTTTTGTTGACTTAATTTTAATTTTAATTTTTCAATTTTTAAAATTTTTTTTGCCCTGTCGATGTTTTTCACCCTTTATTTTAACGGGAACCTCAAAATTTTGAGCTAGCCTTGTTTATTTTCTTTGGAATTTTTTAGGGTTATTCTTGGGGTACATCACCCATTACATAAGGGTGTCTAAAATGGCCACTCGGTACACCTATTGGAGAAGCACGTGCGCCACAGACACCCCTACCAAGAATCTTCCTTTCTTTATACTTAATTTTTTGGTGCATGTTGTCACTTGCCATGTATGTCATTGCATGTCCCAGCCTATGGAAATAGTCTCTATAACGACCTGTACCAACAACGTCATTTGTCTGAAGCTATGGGAACAAAAGAGAAGTTTGGTTGTATTAATGTATGATGAAGGTTGAACCCCAATCTTGCGGGTTCTCATCGTTCCGTCTCTAGCGTTTTGTGAGGGAGGTAAATCGCGAGATGTGTCCCAACAGGTCAGAAAACAAAAACTGTCTGTAGACTACGCTTACAAGTACTTCAATT